GCTGTGAACCTTGCGGGTTGGAGAGTGAGATCTCCTCGAGGCGAAGCAGCGTGCTCGAGGCGCGAAAGGACGGATGTGAGCTCAGGCGAGAAAGATTCATGTTGCGGATGTTTCACAGATTTAGACAATCCTTATTTCGTGCGGTTTTGCTCTTTCCAGGCGTTCAGCCTTCCGCTTCGCTAGATCAGATCCTCTGCTGTCGGAGGCCATGCCGCGCGAAGCTGCACATGCGTCGGTCTGATATCATGTCATAGAAGAGTCCACCCTGTATGCCGGCAAATCCATGGAGGAGCTTGTGCGCGTGCGGCCCCACTATAGATTCAAAGCACAGCCCGGTGTATGAAGCCGCAGTCAAAGCTCACAATTGAGCCGGATCTGTTTGGGCAGGTTAGGCGGAAATGCTCCGAGTCCAGCACTCAGTTTGTGCCACCATTGTCAAGCCTCCTGCCAGAATGGAAGGATTGTTCTTAGAATGTCATAGATGCATCTTAGTAAGTTCTAGATCACAAGGCTGGAAAACAAGCAGTGGAATTTGGCAGAGCTGGCCTCCGACAGGGATTGCGAGGCACCACCCTGCCTTGTCACTGAGCTTGTTATGATCTGAGGAGTGCTGGTGCATTGGTTGTTGGCAACTGTGCTGCAGAGTCTCCTGCCAGACCTTGCTGATTGCAACTTGCAACTTTGGGCTCAAGCTGTGGCATGAGGACTAGATGCGAGATGTTCTGGCTGCCCTGCCCATGATAGAAGACGAAAGCCAGGCTTTCCAGCCCCATGACCGTTCGGCTCTGACCTTGGTATGTCAAATCACTCGGCCTAACTGTGGTGAATCCCCTCCTCCCATCTCCTCTCAATCCTCCAAGGTGTCGCGCGGCATGCACCCGACACTGTCTCGGCCAGTGTCTCCGGTTCCAGACCCTGAAAGGCGCGACATCCAGACTTTTGAAAGCAACCCCTTGCACACTGGTGATGCTCTTGTCAGGATAGCATGCAGAAGCCCGGCACCGCTGGGCGACGTGGCTGACGACGAGACGTGTGCAGGCTCAGTTCATGTGGCCCATGGCTCGTAACCTCAGGGCCCCGAAGCCCCAGGTAGCCAGAGCACCCTGCAATGCACCTGCAAGCATGCGGGAATGGGTGAGTTGCGAAAATCACCATGGACGGCTGTCATTGTTATCCTCGCTGCCTGTAGGGTGGAGACAGAGATCCTTGCCATCCACCTGTTGCCAGAAGACCACGCTGTAGCAGATGCTTCAAGAGATTGAATCAGCATGCAAGCTCAGGCCGGCTGCTAGTTCTGACGAGAGATGGTAAAGCCGGCACGTCTTGCAACCTGTTTCGTGGATGAAATGCTGTTGTCCGCAAGACCTCCTCACCCCCCAGATTTCCCAAAATTAGGGATGCCTTCTTGGGGTCCCTATAATAAGGTTTACAGTACTTTTGGGTCTATATGGGGAAACTGTCTTTCGCCAGGCCAACCTCAAGTCCAAGCTCGCCACAGGCAAAGGGCATAGGGCACCTTCAGATTGATTCCAGTGGGCAATAGTAATAGTAATAGTCAAAGCAATAGTAATGGTCACAGTAATAGGCAGTTCCCAAAATTACGGGCCAAATTTGGTACCCCTAGATATTAGGTGCAAGATAATCTATAACCAAAAGGGGCCCATAATTTTGAGAACAGCCCAAAGATTTCCAGTGTCCTCTTGTCTTGACTTCACCGCTTCCCGGCTTCAAAACCAGGTTTCTTCGCTCGACATGGCTCTGCTGCAGCTGGCCGCCCCGATCCCAGCATTTCTGCAATGCGCCCTTTTTCACTTTGTTCTCCAAGTGGCGTGGCTGTCTGGTTGTGGGTACCTTGCAGCGCAAACTTGGGTATGGCCACCAGCACCCGCCATCTAGCAAGTGCTTCAGCTGAACGACTAACCCCTTAAAACCTGCCGGCCCCGTTTGCATTGCGTATCGGACCTCCCTGTTCCTGGCATACTGTGGATTCCAGGCCAGTCACGCGGAACAAGTCCGAGAGCTGCAGCAGAGTTTCGAGGCCGAAGCTGACAAGTTGAGCCCGAGCTGAGCCGAGATTTCTGGGATGCTGACTCCACCTAGACCTAGTCGAAGAAAGTCGCAGATGTTTGGAGTGTTGCTGTGCATGCTACGCGACAGGCTGCTGTGCAGAAACTCGAGGCAGAGGCTCGACCGATCTTGCTTCCCCGTAGTCGAACTCTTTTCAGTGTCTATGTTCCACCCTTCTGCAGGCACTTCAGACTCGACCCCGTCCGCAGGCCTTGGCCAGGTAATTGAACGGCTGCTCTACAGCCTTTGCCGCTGTGTGAGGCCTTGGATGCAACCGACACGATGCAGGACGTGCAGGACTTAGGCACCGCACTGAGTCTATGTGCTGTTGCGCATCCCTGTCTTGGACTCCCTCGCCTTCGCATGTCCCATTCGGGCATTAGGTGCAGGCGTTCCAGACGAAACGCGTGCTCCACCGAGAACAACGTCACAGGAGGAGGCCGCCATCCTTTCTCGCAGTCTTTGATTCCAAAGCCGCGCAAATCCCTATGCGATGCAATGAATGCCACGCCAGCTTCATTCAGGTGGATGCCCAAGCCGCGGAGGCGAGGGCGAGCAAAATGAGCCGAAAATCTTCCAAGGCCAAGATGCGGATGAGTCGCTTTGCTATGCTTTACCAGCTTGGCATATTAAATTCGAACATGTTTTGGTTTTCCTTGGTGTTTCTTGCCACAGCGCCTATGGTGTTTTGATCTGGAACCGCAACGTACCAAGGTACGGCAATCTCGCGAGTCCTCAAGGGTCCGCAGCACCCGTCACAGGCAAAGCAAAAATCTTCAGAGACCCTGAGGCCGGAATTTAAAGAGTACCTTGGGTATGGACGAGACGTTCTTGCACAGAGTTGTTGAGCCCTTTGGAATGGAAAATAGTCAGCACCTTGCGGACTTAGCTTATCGCATCGGTTCAACTGTTGGCCAGGTTGCGCAAGAAGCTCAATCAGGCACGAGTGCATTCTGAGCACTGCTTCATTCTTTGTCTTGCTAGCAGAGTTAGGTGCCAGTTTTCCACTGTAAGCCGTGGTTGCCTGTCAGAAAACCTTTGCGGCCGACCACTACACAGACGATCGCGACGAGGCCACTCGTGTTGGACTTCAGAACTTGAAGGACTTCGGAGTTGTGCCAGGATGAAGGAGAACCTTCCTGGTTCGATCGACAGCGCCTGGTGATGGTGGCATCCCTCCCAGAGAATGGACTGTAACACATTGTTTGGTGGACCATTCTTCGTTCACGCTCAGGTGACGCACCCACTCTTTGATGCCTTGACGGCCTTGGTTATTCTCCTCAACGCAGCCAGCATCGGCGTTGAGACGTAGCTTGCTGCAGTAAGACAGAACTCGGAGAGATTCGACTTGTGGCTAGATGCTGGATGTTGGATCCCTGCAGGCAGTATGCAGCAATGGACGAGGCTTTGCCCGCGAGTCGCGTTGCAGCATTACACTGTCAAAGCTGGGCATGTCGGCACCTAACGAAGTAGCAGCAACAACAACAGCAACCACCACAGTCGCCGAATGCGTCTGAGGTGTGGAGCTTGTCAGCCAGCTCTGCACAGTTTACTTCTTGATTGCACCTCGGCTTAACACCTGATGGTGGTGTGAGACCCAACCCCAATGTATCTGGAATCTCACGAAGGGATCCGAGATGACAGTCAAGCGCTGAATCAGGAGCTGACTCTGCGAATCGGCGCCCACCAGGCGCATTTGAGCTTGCAGCAGCTTTTGCGTAGGAGTTTCTCAAAAACGGCTCAAACATAATTTCTGAACAGGGGCCCCCAGAATAGTCAATTAGCGGAAGACTGCAGGCCAGCTGGTTTCTTGACCCGGACATGCGGATGTGGAAGCCCGCCTGCAATGGCTAGCGACTAGCACACCCTGTCAACAACGTATGCAATCTTTAATTTCTTTTGCCCATTGTGTCAGCAGAGGGCAATTGGGGTTAAACAATAATAAGAATGTTAATATTGGGGTAATGGAACAGAAAATGAAAATTGCAGGGATTATAGGGATTATGTTGGTAATAGCAGTAATATTTAATAATAGTAGTATTATTGGTAGGGCAGAGCTCCAGCGGTCCAATAGGCGCCTTGGAATCCCAGGAACTTCTTCGACCTCGTGCTGGTAGCGATGTCACTGATCGACTTCGTCGTTGTAAGATGCTTGTTCGATCTGGGCTGGGCCTACAGGTACTCCTCAATGTCAGCTGTGTAGTGGTGAAAGCAACAGAAAGCTTTATTTGCTTCAACTTTGGGCTTCCTGCGCTGCTGCGGTTGCTCCGGCTTCTGCTAAGTCCGCAATGTTGGTCGCAGACAGACCAAGCTGGGCCCTAAGGAGTCGCAGGTGGTGGAGCTGGTGGGTTCGACACGGTCAAGATGTTAAAAACGCTCCGGATCATCAGACGCTCCGCAGAATCATCATCGGGAAAGAGCAATGCTGAGCCACGGAACTTCCACTCAATACCCAAAGTTGGGCAGCAGCTCTGTGCCTGCTTAAGGAATCTTTCGCGTGTTCCGCTTCTTCCGCCAGTTGACACAACTGGCGCTGATGATCACCGTGCCTTCGTTTTTCATGGGTCGCACGTAGGGTAAATGTGTTCCGTGAGCCAACGTGCATCGCCCACATCTCGTGGCTTCAATCCTTTAGAATCTAGACCAAGGACTCCATCAAATCCTTGATCTGGGCGTTGGTGCTGTTGGCTATCATTATTTATGTCTTCGTCTGAAGCTCAGAGCTGCCGCCTGTGGTGCCTGTGCACTTCACCTGTGCTGCTTGCAGCCGCGCTTGAAGGCCATCTTCTTGACGGCAAACGTCCAGAGCCTACAGAATAGATGCTGTGAGGTCACTGCTTGCTGAGTGGATGGTAGGTGCGTGGGGTGCTGGTCCAAAGTGGGACCCTAATGTAAAGACGAAATGTGAGGCTCCCCACTTAAAACGAGCACCGATGCCCCAAACGGCGAATTTTGAGAATAGACCCCTTATAGGGGTTATATAGGGGTTATATTGGGATAATGGAAAATAAAATGGAAACTACTACATTAGGGTTATATAGGGCTATATTAGGGTTATCTCGGAGATCGCAGCTAAGCCCATGTCAAGGTGTCATCCTGGCTTCTCCCTTTCTTGGGCAACCCTGGCTCCGAGGCTCTGACGCGCTTTAGGGTGTAGGGTTTAGGGTTTAGGGTTTAGGGTGGTATCCGCGGTCATGAGACTTTTCGCACAGATTAGCTGCACTTGCCTCTCAGAGGAAGTCTGCAACTCCAAGGACTGGCAAGAAGTTGCTGCAGAACATGAGGATGTTTACGTCCGAGTGCTGGAGAGTGCCTATGGCGTCTTGTCTGGACTTCGGAACTGAGCCGACCAGGAAGGTGAGATGATAGGTACGCAATAGTTTTTAGAATTCTAGACGTGGATATAACATAAGAAATGGAGAATCAGATGGACAAGAAAATGGAAAGTAGGGTATTCATACCTCCACATAAGGCTGACCAAGTAAAACATAGTTACACCAGCGCCCGAAAAAGATGCCTGAAGTTTTTGTCAGCTCTAGTCAAGCAAAAAGGGCCTTAGCCGCAATCCCTTCAGCGGGTTGCCTCAAGAAACCGCAAACCCTAATCTCTGAACTCTAGACTAGAGGTTCCTATGCAGTGCAGCTGAGGATCTCTGCCTCAAACAATTTACACGCTGGTGCTGGCAGTTCCTTGAATCTGGATTTGGAAGTGTTGTGGGTGTTTCCAAACATGTAGAGGTGTGTTTTTGGAGGCCCCTCTAACAAGCATAATTGTATTCTGGGATCTATGTTGGGGTCCCCATAATTGTTAGGGGAGGGTTATCAATCAGGGGTCTGGGTTATACAAGGGACCCTATTTTATCAAGACTGTCATATTGAGACGTGGGTATTCAGCCACTTGCACAAACTAGTCATACCCTCCCAAAACAAACATGAATTCCCTCAAAACGGTCTGGCTTCTATGCATAGGGCGACCCCAGTATAGACCTTCAAGAAATGACTACCATTAATGTTGATTTCACATTCTGCGCTGCCCCCCACATTTATAAAAATCCCGCCGCCGGAACACAATTATAACAAGTCCAAGATTATCTCTTTGGGGGCACCGATATGAATTGGATTTTACTTGACTCTAAATCACTTTTCAAATCTACTGTTTTGGCATTATTATTCCGGGGCTCCCCCAGATCGGAGATAAATCAGTTGGGGGGCGGTTATCAATGAGAAGCTAACATTGTGACAGGAACCCTCAGGAAGGCACCCTTTTCGGAATCCCCTACTTGAAACCGTTTTTTTGCCCCTTTTTTGCAATTCTTTTGCTGCCAGGTCCTTGGAGGCCGAAGCTGGCATGAGGTGTGCACACCTCTCATGAAGGCGCTCTACCTCCTATACTGCTTTTTATTGTTACTTATGGTGTTTTATCTTACTATTTATTCCTGCCCTAAAAGGAGAGCTTTCCAAGACTGTAGATTGCCGGGATGTGTTTGTTCAATAAAGTTGGTTCATACTACAGGGGACCTTCAAAATGTGGCCTGTGAAGAGGGTTTGCCATGCCGCAGGTCGGATGGTTCCCAGTCTCGTTGGGGCCTGAGATCGGAATACGAACCGCGCTGTATCAACCTGATGTTTGAAACAGATATAGAACCATCCAATGATCCAAGGAGCCCAATACTTCTCACATAAAAAGGGTCCTTTTTTTTTGGGAGGGGGAAGGGGGGGGGAGGGGGTTACCAAAATCACCTTCAACATGCAGGGAGCCAATAAGTTTGAAGTTTTGTCCTTTCCCTGCAGCTTGCCGACCTTTGAGGCTGTTATTGATCTATGTGGCATTTGTGGTGCTGGCAGTGCTCAACGCAACTTTCTCTGCAAAAGTACAGCTGTTGTATTTGCTGGTTGAGAGATTAATCACCTGTGCCTACGAAAAAGCCACCCCCACCACCTAAGGACGAGTATTCCGTGGAAGATTTTGTGGGAGGGAGTGGGGGTTGGTGGGAGGCAGACTAACTCCATAACCCCTACATCCATATCTATCTGTATTTATGTATATATGTATATATGCAGTCAACCCTGTAATCCAATTTTCATTTTTGATTTTGGATTTTCCTCTTGACTCCCGATTAAATACACAGTCTGAGCCCCACCTCAATTTCTTAAACCCTATGAGCTAGAGTCAAAACTCCTGAAAGGGGGTTATATAGGGGATTATCTAGGGAAGTATTACAGGGTTTATTAAGGGGGATGCTAGGAGTTTAGACTATAGATCATATCCTAATTTGAGTTTCTTTGCGTGCTTTGATGGCAGATTTGCGCTTTAGTTAACCGCAGATGGCACCAGAATGAACATGGCTATGCAGTCCGAGCAATGCAAGCGGCAAACATATCGGTTCCCAGGAATGGCTCCAATACCGATCCCGAATATGTTATGCTTACTACGAGAACCGGCCGTGGGCAAGCAATGGGAAGCATCCAAATTTTAAATCCCGTGGCTCAGGTGGTGACAGGCGTGTTCGTGGACAACGCATTTAGATGTGCAGAGAAGCAGCGAAGCCTTGTGGCTTGGCAGGATGGGATGACGTACTGACTTACGTCGTGAGTGGGGAAGGGGAAATCCTCATAAATCAGTATTTCCAAGACTAGTACATAACCCTCTGAACCCTAAATTTGCAATCCTTACATTGTAGTCCTTCACTCCCTAGTAGCCATGAGCTTGTTTTATCGTGACGGGTCGACTCAGAACCAGCCAGAGTTCTGAATCAGGCAATACAGAAAGAAATGGATCGGTGTCCTGGCCGCATGCGCGTGTGTATGCTATACAGTTCGACAGTTACCTTGCAGCCCATAGGATGTCCAAGCAGGCCCAGCGAAGCTTTCAGAGATGTTGTGAAGTGGTTTTCTGCGGAGTCGCCCTCATGCAGAGGGGGGGCGGGGCTGCCATCTGCAGGCAGGAGCAGTTCGTGCAGCAGATTCGCGATTTCTTTGCAGCCATGGATCAGGACATGCTTATTTCTGTGCAGGGCACACTGATTTTGTTAGTTTCGGGACAGCAGCTTTTGAAGCAGGACGATTCAGGAGACGTGACGCCGGAGGAGCTAGCGGCGGGGCCCTTAGACCAGCACATGAATTCTGATCGTTGCCCTCGCGACTTATCTTTCCATTTTTTGTCTCTGTCTCTGTCTCTCACTTTCTCTCTCTCTCTCTCTCTCTCTCTGCGTTTCTAGTCTGTCCGTGCTTCTTTCTATCCAAAAGGGGGTTGCAGGCTGCAGGTGCGTAAGCGTGAGCTTTTTTGCATGCTGCCGTCCTCCAGCCTTGGTCAGTGTGGCCCAGGAAATGCTCAAGGATCCAACGCTCTCAGCATACTTCCGAGTCCTTGGGTTTGAAATTGATGACGACACTTGGCTTTGGAAGCTTCCGGTGTTCATGTGGCTGTCTACAACATGCTTCTTGCATGACCTTGCCGTTTTACCTGTTGACTTCTGCTTGCATCTTAGCAATCAAGGCAGCTCGCTTTATCAATTTATTGGACAAGGACAAGGACGGTAGCATCAGCCCCCTGACCTGCAGACATTGTAGCAATACTTTGATTCCGTATGTTGCGGTGTTCGTTGGAACTTGAAATCTTGAGGCGTCGAAGAGTTCCTGCGCGGATGTCTGAAATATCGTGGTATGGCGACGGCTGTTGACATGCATCAGTGCTTGCGCTTGGTCCCTGAGTTGCAAACTGCAGACTTGTGCCAACTCAGGCAAAGGCAGCTGGCCACTCCCAGTTCCTTCTTTTTCGGTTCGTGCTGATTCCACAAGCATGGCTCTACACGCTCAACTGTTGATGTGGCTTAGGTACGGCAAACTCAGCGCTCCCTTGTGGAGCTGAGATCTTGCATTTATGCCAAGCCCTCCTCGCTGCCACAGTCGCCGCGATACCCGCTAGGCCCGCACTGGCTGACCCTGTCTTTGGAGCTATCAGGCTGCACATGCCCTGTTGAGGATGCGCTTGTCTGTTGCCTTTCTGGCAAGAGAGCTCAAGCTCGTAGACTTGCCAGATCAGAAAGTTCGTAGCAGCCAGACTCAGCTACCATGACTACCTCTTCACACTTTTACCACTGAAGCATCTCCTGCTAGAAGTGTCTGGTTGAGCCATGGACTTGGACCATGAGGATCAGCTGGACCCCGCGGATGCGGACACGCTCCAGGATCACACAGTCGCAGGGCGACGCCACACAACCACCAGTGTCGACTTGCCGTCTCAGAAAGGTCGCCTTCGCTTGCGGCCAAAGGTTCCAGTTGTGGAAGGCTATGAAGGCAAAGCTGTCAGCCGGGATGAGGTCTTCGGTCGCGAGGATGAGGACCTGCAAGGGTATGACCGCTTGCAGCAGCGACTAAATTATGATTTGGATAGTGTGGATGATGACCTTGCCGGGGACGGCTCAGCCTTTGGAATTTCTGGTGATCTTGAGAAAGAATACTCCAAGTTGATGCGGTCGACAGAAAGAGAGATGGCAGTTATGCGGCAGCCTTCCACTGCGGACATCGCAGCAAGAGAAGAGAATGCGAAAGACCTGAAAAGGCAAATTGAGATGTGGGGCGCGCTTGTTGAGCTTCGCATCCACTTGGAGGGAGCATTGTCGGTGGGCCACAGGCTGCCAACAGGAATTGTTGCAGGCCTTTTCGACAAAGCAGACAGCCGCATCGTGACACAGAGTGGTGCGGCTGGGGGAGACGTTCGCAAACTGCTAGGAGCTTTGATGGCACTACAGGAGAAGATGATCCACCAAGAGTGTCCCAGTTTGTCGACGGATCCTAGTGAGGAAGTAAACACCGTCCCCAGCTTGGAAGACAAGACTTGGGAGTTGGCAGATACCAGGCTACAGGCAGTTCTGGACTGGGCACTGAACGTGGCAGACGAGTGGAAAGAGCATACACGCTTGGACTCCAGGCGCTCTTTCGAGATGCTGGACCAGTCACTGCGGCTCCAGATGCAAGCAGTTTCCGATGCTGAGCCAGAGAAGTTGCGGAAGCGCTGCACCCCAGCTCCTGGCAAACATGCTGTTTTTGGCAAGTCCCTCAAAGCCTCAGTGGAGGGCGAGGACGTGGACACAGCTGGCGTGGCTCCGGAGGGTGTAGATGTACATCTTGAGAACATTTTCGATGATCGGGACTTCTACGTGCAGTTGCTGCGAGAAGTGCTATCTGGCAGCGCAGGTGGTGCACTTAGCGCTCAAAGTGCTGAGGAAAGAGAACTCTACGCCGAAGTGCAAGGTCGACGAGCTGCCAAAAGAAAGGCGAAAGCTGAGGTCGAACGTCGTGCTTCTAAGGGAAGGAAGATTCGCTACAGGCCTATCGAGAAATTGCAAAACTTCATGACCGGTCGTCCACGCGGAACTTTCAATTCTCAAAAAATCTTGGGATTGGAGGATGTGGAGCCGCTTAGTCAACATGCCTGCAATGCAATGTTGCGATCTTTGTTTGCACCGGCGAAAGCGTCATAGATGAGAGATTACAACGAAGTTTCACTCGTCAGGAGTGTGCCGACCCATGCCAATATCAGGTGTGGCCACGCATCAAAAAAAGCTTGAAGCACAGCCTTGAGTTTGAGAGTGAAAGAGAGAGGGAGACATGTAGCTTAGACACAGTGACAAGCAGCCATGAGAGTCAGTGGGAATAATGTGGAGCCAGATCCCGCTAGCATGGGCACATGAACATTGCGGGCCACTTCAAGCGTGCCGCAAATCTTGTGCTTGTGGCTCGCCAGGAACACCGCGGTCTGAAGCGACTTTGTCCTTGCCGGGGCCCCAAAACATGATTGGATTTGCGTGTTTGCATGATGAGAACGTGTGGACTTGACCTGCCCCGGTCAGGAGGGCGACGAATGCAAGCATATTGTGACAGCCTTCCTCCTGCATGACTCGGAAGGAACTAAGAATGGTCTTATGCGTGCATGCGTTTCGCGGCGGTGTTTTGCATTTACTTGCTTAGGGAAGTACAAATTACTCAATCTCCAGAACCGCTCCGATCTGGTTGCACTCTGCTTAATACGTGTACCTATGTACATCAGTTGACGTGCTTGCTGGTGGTTACCATTTACGACAGCCCTTTGATTTCTACCCATGAGCCTACCAGCAGTGAGCCGCAGTTTATCTTTAACAGTAGCCCTCCGAAGGAGGGCTGAGGTGTCACGTCGCAGTTTCTAAGCACTCCCTGTCGACGCTTTCACCACGTCGCTGCCGATGCCTGTCTCTGCTTTCTGGGAGATTGGCCAGGTCGGCAAACAGGGAGGGTTCGGATCTACATATCCTTATAAACCACACTATAATCCTAGTTTCCATTTAATTTTCCATTTCCTTTTCCGTTTAATTCTGTGTTTCATAGTAGTTCCCGTTTTCTTCCAATTAATTTACCATACATTATATTCCCCTAATGGGGGTGGACCAGAGCTGTCTCAGCCTGGCCATTTTTCAACCAGGTGAGCACAGTGTCAGTTCAATCCAGAGCGCAAGAAACTTGCTGCCAAACCCGCTGGACCTCCAGCGTGAAGGTTTCTGGGAAAGATAATAGTCAATTATCATGCTATATTATAATGTATGTTAACCTATGATCGTATTTTATAGTATGTCATGGTATATTATAGTAGAAGCAGTAACGCAACTTTGCTATCGAAGCGCTTAGGATGGAGCCAGGGAGAAGACAAGATGAGACCAAAAGTAACAATTATGGAGTTGGGAGTTGTTCGAACCTGAAGACCCTCAGTGCCTGCGACATCTTTCAGGCTACCCTTGACACCTTGGCGTTCTACGTTTTCTAGGGCTGTATGTTAGAACAACCCCATTGGTCTGTTGTGCCCTGGGCCTAGCCCAGTGAGGCAGAGACCAGATTTCCGACTCGGGAAGCCAGGGGTGCAAAAGAGCCTGCGAGAAGCGTGCTCCGGCCCTTGCCACGCGATGGCCATTATGCCTAGTGCAACTGAATTGGTTTCCAGTGCTGCTCAGCCTACTGAAGCCTTCCTGGTGGAACATTGGAACATGTGCCCGGGTGGCAACCAATCTTGCCTTGCTTTGCCTTGTTGCCAGGAAGGGAGCGAGAGGCAGCTCCCTGAGTTTAACGTCGGCATCTTTGCCCTCGCCTTGGAAGTTTCATGGAAACATCTGGGGCCTGAAATCTCCCAGCCATCGTGTTGATGTGGCTCTCCGCCAGGTCAAGAAGGAGTTTCAAACAGCCGCCGAGTGGTTCCCTGCTCAGCTGAAATCAGAACAGCATGTCAAGCAGCTTAGAATCTGATGCATGTCTCGCTGGTTTTCAAATTTTGGGACAGTCTCAAGTGCAGTTGTGCTCAAGAGACCAGCGCCGCAGGTTCCATGAGAAGGACAAGAAGCAGTTGCCTGCTTCTCAAACTTTCATCCATGAGCCGAGGCTGCGGCTGTATGATGTACTATTCAGATTCTAATGTTGTCATTCATTGTTCTGACAAATATGTTCAACTTCTTGTCATCCTTATTTTGTTTGAAGTCATTTTCAGTACTATTGCTTTTATCGGTTCACATGTCCCTGGTGTCATGGGCCGCAGTGTCCAGGCCACGAGGTTCAAGCGGACTCCCCCCCTCGGAGCGCATGTAGTCCGCAAGTCGGTGGGTCGGCCATGGGCCAATGGACGGGCGATTTCAGCAAGTGACTTTTGGCTTTGCCACAAGGGAAGGGCTGATCGAAAGACATGACCATGACATGTCAAGCCCAGGAAGCCGAAGGAGTTGACTGTGGCCCTGTCCAAGCATGCCAAGAGATTTGGCGCTGCTTCCGCGATTCAGGCGCTGGCTGCTTTTGTCTGCTTGTAGGTGGTACTCCTGCCAGCCTGCAGCTATTCCTTGTGGTTTTGTGATCTTTTGTAGGTCCTTCGTGGGCTGGTGCAGGGGACGCTGCAAGCAAGTGTGTGACTTGCAAGCTCTGGGACGATCTTGTAATGCCGTGACTTGATCAGTGGGCTCTTGAAGTGTAAGGTTTCACGCAAATGCCATCATCGGCGCCTGCTCCAGAAATAGTTGGCAATTGGCCGTGGATTGGTTATGGAGCCTGGAAGAAGTTGGCGCAAGAAGAGATGCAGTGAGCCTTCCGACTGCAACTGCTCCAGCCTGAGCTCTGAGCTTGGCACTGTATGATGCAAGAAGCCTCCAGGCTACAGCGCAGCCATAAACGTCCTGGAGAAAGCAAGCCAGTGGCCAAAAGCAGCTTGCATCCTTCGACGCTTCATCTTGTTGAAGCCATGGTGGCACACGGCTCTGATGTAAAGTAGGGCAACAGCTGCAACAGCTTGGAGATGCTTGGAGCGTGGGAACCAGTGACTGAGGACAGATGATGACGGCAGGGACCACGCCCAACTCACAAGGGTGCAGTGCACTTCTCAATGCCGGTCAGACACTTTTTGGCAGGAATTCTGCATGAACGGCGATACTCGTGTTCAGTGGTTCGTACTGCCTCTGCTTTGGGTTGACCACACAATCGACGGTCGACGGTCTTTAAGCTAAGGAGAGATTGTCCTTGGAGGTTGAGCTTCCAAATTCTGCGCCTCGAACAGATTGGTCAGGGTCGGAGCTCAAAATTTTTGCCTGCCTGTCAAAGCCGAGGGCTTTCACCTGTCAAGCAAGTCTCCAACTTGCAACCTAGCAGCATCATATGCTGCTTGCGCTTCATGCCCCCATGGATGATGTCGTGCAGCGCAAGCACTTCTGAGACAGGATGCCATGAGCTGCAACGCTGCCATCCGCGCCTGTGACCCGTGGCATCGAGCAATGGACCTCTTGCACACCATGCCTATGCGAAGGCCACTCACGGCGTTTCGTCCGCGCTTATAGCTTCGCACGTAGAAGCAGACCTGCACGCAGGCAATATCCAGATCGTGCTAGTCTCAACGCGTTGCTTCACTCTCTCAAAGCGAGCTGGCAGCTATCCATGCAAGCTGCACGAGCGCAGTCTGCTGGCATGCGGTGGGACAGCTGTTCTGAGATTGCTGTACTTTCAATCTTTTTTCATGACATCCTCGTCCTGAAGGTGCATGCAGCTGGACAGCTTGGCCACCAACACCCTCATCAGCGCTTGTGCAAGTTTTAAAGCGTGGTCTCGCTCTATCATGCTTCTGGATGGCATGGCCGTGTGCTCAGATGCAAAAGCTTTGGAACTACGGCAATGTTCATTCCATCTACCGAGCATCTGTGGCTGCTCTAAAAGTCGGCCACAAGGCCGGCTTAAGATAATTCTGCTGGGAGGGATTTCTCAGAGGCTGAAAGCTGCGCATTTTACAGTCAGAACAGGGCACGCAAATCTGATCTGAGCACCGCCAAGGCAGTCAAAGCATTGCAACTGGATGTCGTGAGCTGCAGTGCTTCCATGCAGGGATGTATCTGGCTTGCACTCATGGGCAGGGTTGCCGGATTGTTCCCTACGAGCCGCAAGCGCAAACGCGAGAAAGCCCATTTCAGAGAGTGCAGCAGTTTCGCTTGGACTGGACTCGATCTCGCTGCAAGAAGGTACATGGGCTGTCGCAAGCGTCATGCTAGTCAGATCCATGAAGGCAGAGGCGGGCAGTCTGCAAGCTAGGCTAGATCATTTCCGTTTCCGTGTGGTTTCCGACACCTTTCTGCCAGAAGCTGTGAGGTTCATCCAAACCACGTGGCTCTGAATACCTTGCTGAGCTCCTCTGCATCTGAAACCTGGCATGTGGCGGTGAACCAGCTGAATTGCCGCCGGGAATGCAGAAAAAGCAGAGAGTTTGTTGACTCCGATGTTCTTTTCTCGCGCGTTTGGCTTTGCAGACCCCCAGGTTTGGTGTTTCTGCGCTTCGACCCAGATGCCCTCGCATGGAACACTGTCATTGACACCTGCCAAAAAGCTGAGAAGTGGCAGCTTGCTTTGGAAATTCTGGATACTGGGCGCGACGCTGTGGATGTTTTCGGCCGCACTGCCGCTATGAGCGCTTGCGACAAAGGCAGTCAGTGGATGCTGTCTCTTGCCCTGCTGTCCACAATGTCCAAGGGAGGCATAGATGCTGACGATGCTTGTGCCTCTACTTCAGAGAGCTTTTTCCACTTTGTCTGAACTGGAGGTTGCCAACTGTTTTCACGTTGGGGCAGCGCCGTTCAGGTTTCAATGCAGCTATTGACACCTGTGCGAGGGCTGAGCAGATGCAGCAAGCATGGGACCTAGTCCTAGCGGCGGAAGAGGGCGGATCTTCTCGATCTATCTCGTCTCTCCCCTGGGCTTTAGCCAGGTGTCTTGGTTGCACCTGCGTCTTTCTGTCTCCAGGTCATGTTATTAAGTCATGTTTTTTTTGCTGCCGCATGCTGGTGCCTTTTTTGAATCCCTGCCCAGGCTCCAGATTGCCGACCCCCAAATCACGGAGTGCTGCTTCGCGCGTACTGTGCGCAACCTGGTTAGAGACGATGAGAGGGAGGCTTCAACATTATAACCCCAATATAACCCTATAGTAACCCCAATATAGTATAGC